GGCCCCGGGTGATCACTTTCCCAGCCAGCCCTGGACTGGAGCTGGGAGTGACGCTCTCCGGAGGAGGGGAGGAGAGCAGGAGTGTGATGATGGCTCTCTCCCACTCTTCCCCCCTCAGCCCCTCATTCGTATCCCAGCTGCTGTTGAGAAAGGTGGTGGAGCTGACTGGTGTGCCCGCCAGGAAGGATTAAGTCAATACACACAGGGCTCCTTGGGGAATGTGTCCCGCCTCTGGGCCACTGCCCTCCCTGGAGAAATCTGGGCAGATTTCTGGGCTTGCAGTCATGGAAGCATGTGCCAGTTCGCCTTCACAGGGAGAGGGGGAGGGGTCCCTAAAGACTCATTTTTCCTTCCCAGTGAAGCCTTGAGCTCTGAAGCCAGAACCTCGCACCATGTGTTACAGAGCCAGAGCCCCTACCAGTGTCTCCTGCCCACTCCACTCCCAGGTGTTGTCAGAGGCTTCTGGAAACCTGGCTTTCCAGGTACCAGCCCTTGTTTTTAAGAGAATTGCCTTAAGAGGCTGGGGCTCAGTGTTCACTGCAGCATCAGTCCCTGCAGGACTTACTGGAAGCTCTGCCCTCTTCCTGAAACAGCCCACTACATTCATCAGCCTACCCGCTGGCTGCCCATCATTTAGAGCAGCCTACTCTGTGTATGCCCTGGAGAGAGAGAGGTGAGTCTGCGAGCATCTGTGCAGCAGGTCAGCTCTGGACGTGGACCAGAGGAGGGTCAATACAAAAGCCCCACACCCTCTTTACAGTCTTTGTGTAAGGGCTCATGATCATTTCCTTTAGAATTCAGATCTAGGGAAGATTTTTCTTTCCTGCAGACAAGGACAGCCACGTGAGTTATTCATGCTTGCTTTTTACCTTGGTTCTTGGGAAACGCAGTGCAAAATCAATGCTCAGGCATAATACCTCCCTTAGATTGGGTATTTCACATACCTGACTCCTTCTACTATATATTGATGCACTTTTTGTGATGGTGGGCTTCACCAAGCACTGGCTGTGTGCCTGGAACAGTGATAGATGCTGGGGATGCCCATGTGAGACAAAATATGACAAGATTCTGGCCTTCCAAGGGCTCACAGTCATGTAGTAGATACCCCAAAGCAAACGGTTTGAAAACATCCACGTGAGTGCTATAACAAAGTGTGCACAAGTGCGTTGGGTGCAGGGCAGAGAGAGCAGTTCATCCGACTAAGGGTGGAGAAGGCAGGTGATGGACTGAGAGGAGGTCAGGCAAGTCTGCTGGGAGGAGGCTATGCCCGAAGGACGGGTAGTGGGTTTGCCAGATAAAATACAGGACACAGGAGTTCAGTTTAAATTTCACATAAACAAGGAATACCTTATAGTATAGGTATGTCCCATGCTCTATTTGGGACATACTTATACTAAAAAACTATTAAAAAGCATGTACTGTATTTTATTTTCCAGAGTAGTGGGACAGGCATTAATAGTTCTGTTTTACAGATGAGAACTCTAGGGCCAGAGGGATAACGTGCGAGCCATTCAGCCCGTGAAGAGCAGAACACAGGCATTACTCCATATTTCCTGACTCGGGGCCAGAATGCTGTCCTCTGCATTGTACCAGACCCACAAGCACCCAGCCATAGACAGGACACTTTCTTGTCCTGGATAATGGAGAGGATGCTGAGTGTATCTTTGGAGTGTCCGAAAAACCACGGACAAATGATAATGGAGCAGAATAGGAGGAAGAGGCTGAGGCTGAAAAGCAACTCCCACCTTCCCCCCTTTTTCTAGGAATGGGCAGGAAGGAGCTGTGTGTGTAAGAAGAGGCCACCAGGTAGGCACCTGGGAAGCCCCTGCGTGGTCCTGCTTGGCCCCAACATTCAGCTTTGGGCAATGGGAAGACTGAAGAATGCCTCCTTAAGCTGGTGTTATGAAGCAACAAGGAACACATTTCCAACTTTCATGTATGGGCAACTGGCAGTATGGGAAAATCAAAACTTTTTTGAGATGAAAAACACATTTCAAGTAGTATTTTGCTCCTGATCATTTAAACCGTTCAAGGAAAGGAGGTGTGCTTCCTGGCTCACAGCTCTCATATTTCAAAACCCTGGTTTCTGGGAGCTCTGTCACATCAATAGCATGTTTAAAAAATCTTTGTTCTAGAACTTTCTCCTCTACATACACAAATGCTTGCTATTAGGAAAAGGGAGACTGGACTTTGAAGCTCCAAGTTTTGATAGTGTGAATAAGGACAAAAACCTGTATGCACCTCTAAAGTACAGTTTTCAGGTTGTTCTGCCTGGTGCTATTATACGATATGTGAACTGATTGGCAGTGGGCAGTCACTCTCCAAAATCTCAGGTGCAGGTTCTGGTCCGTCAGTGGTACTGAGACTGAGTCCTTCCTTTCCAGCTGGGTCTTTGGAGGAGCCAGAAATGTACTGGGTTTAGGATTCTGGGTTCTTAGTCATACCAACACTCCCTGTCAGTCCTCAAGATGACTGTGTCCTTGGCACAGCCCAAGAGGCCTCTCTCCCAAGCAGTAAGATGGGGTGGAGGGTTGGGGGTTGGGGTGATCAAAGTCCACAAGGAACAACTAGGTGCAGCCTAGGTCCTCTCATCAGTGGACTGTGAGATTTTCTCCTTGAGACCCTCTGAGACTGGTGGAGGTCTACTACTGAAAGTAGCTATCACCCGGGCTACTTTCCAGAATTTTAATGGTGGAAAGACATAAGTTCCCACCATTTGGGGAAACTGCAAACATGAGTGAGAGGTCAGCTAAGCGTGGATTCAGAGATGAGAGGATGTTATCTACAAACACAACTCTTTCCAGTGCGTGAGTAAACAGACACATTTGGTTTGGAACTGAGGGCCTGGCTGTAGGAAAGAAAAGGACCCCCTACCAAACAGCATTTTTCTCTAAATGCCCCTTGAATTGAGAAACAGTTGCCCAGTCTCCTGCAGTCTATTCTCTGTGAGGAATGTCTTCCCCGGCTTCTTGGGCTGAGCATCACCAATTGTTTGGGGATTAACCCTTGGCCATCCAAAGTCTTGCTCTATCTCTCTCATCTCTTTCCCTCCATTCTGCCTGTCTTTCTTTGCTGCACCTTTCATGAGCTGAGAAATGACAGAGAGGATGACCGTGCAGCTGCTTCCAATGTGGACGGCTGAATCACAATCGCTGGATGGCCACGACTGCTTTAAGAACAGAGCCTTACTTCTTCATGAACTCTGGTAGTTGTACTTGGAATCCGTCCATCAAGAAATTAGGTCTGCAGCGTCCAAAGCAAGCTTCCCCAGAGCTTTACAAACAAGCTGGCCCAGCAAGACAACACCACCTACAGTGCCTGCCTTGAGCTCTGAGATCTGTGGCCCATTTGCCACATGCAGTAGTGTCACACTGCTCAGATGTGGGTTTTCGGCATCCTTGGCTTCCCTCCACCCACACTTCAAGATGCAGGCAGTGTAGAGACCTAGCAAACTTCACGAGATGTTTGCGGTTGTCACCTGTCTCCAGGGGTCAGTCATGGTCACACTCTCAGCTTTCTGGAGATTGACCCTTCCTCTCAGGGTAATGTTAGAAATATACAAAAAAATTCCCAGAGACTCCGAGGGCAGGGAGACTTCTGTTTCCTTGGGGGAGGGGTTGCCTTTAGAGAGGGCCTGCTGTATATCTACTGATACACTCTTTTTGCCTTCTGCCTTAATGGGGACCCTGGGTTTTGACCCGAGGTTCCTGGGCCAGCTCTGAATGTAGCATGTGAGCCTGAGTGATGGACTTGATATTTACACAAGCCACACTGATAAGTGCACATGTGTTTTTAATGTTTTGGCTTTCTACACCACAAACATGTCAATGTGTATTTGTGGGCACACACAAGACTTGCTGTCAGGCTGGGACTTGAGTATGTCTTTTCTTTTCTCCTTTCCTTTCTTCTTCTGTCCTCCTAAAGCTAACACCTCTGTGAGAAATATTTCCTCCCACCCTGAGCAACATTGGGACAGTTACCTACTGCCTCCGGTGTTGTCTGAGGTTGGCCACCGGCCGGTTGTCCCACCTGGAAGGGTGCTGCATTTTTAAACCGGCAAGCGGCTGGAAGGTTTAAACCTTCCCCTTTGGGTTTGCACGAACCGAGCCTGGACACCTGGACGGCTGGGGATTTAAAAGCAGACCTCTCTTGGTTCAGCCTTCCTGAGCCCGGGTTTGTCTGAAATGGTCTGTCTTTGTACTGCAACTACAGAGGACAAAACCGGGGAGGTGGGCTGCTTGTCTGGTGGGCTGCTGCTTGAAATTAGGAAAAATTGTATTAAAAAAAGGGGGGGGGGGTTCTTCAGTATGTCACGGGTTTGCAAGTACTGTTAAGGTTCCTGGCTTTTCATCAAGCCTACTCAAGTTGACCAGCGTTGACTGTCCTCTTTATCCACCCCACACTTTTATCTAGCCCCTCTTTCTTTTCCTGTCCGTTCCTTCCATTTTCTCCTCTCCTTCCCCCACTTCTTCCGCTATTTATTTATTTATTTTTGGTTTTGTTTTTTTAAGGGGTGTTGACCTGGGTTTAGTTCTAGTAAACGGAACCCTCTTGCAAGTGAAGCGATTGGTTAATTGCGCCGGTGACTGACGTGCTAAATGAGTGCGGCTCGCAGCAGCCGGGAGCTGATTGGCTGCGCAGGGAGTCTCCGAGGGCTTTGCAACAGGAGCACCGGGCACTCGAATCCTGCAGCCTCCCGAGTAAGTGCCGCGCGGCCGCCCGCCCGCCCGCCCGCCCGCCAGCCCGCCGCGCGTCCGGGAGCCGGGGCAGCAGCACTCGGCCCGCTGCGCGCGCTCCCCTTCCCCGCGCGAGCTCCCGCCGCGGCGCCCGCCGCAGGCCGAGGGCCGCCACCGCCGAGGACCGGGCAGCGCGGCCGCCGAGCCGGGCGCTGGGGCCGGCGCCTTTTGTCCCTGGAGGTCCCTGGAAGTTTGCGGCGGGACGCGCGCGGGGAGGCGGCCGAGGCAGCCCCGACGTCGCGGGAGCCAGTGCGCCGAGCCAGCATGGGCAGCGGGCGCGGCGCTGGGGGCCGCTGGCCGCCCGGGCGTGCTGCTGGCGCTGGCCGCCGGGCTCCTGGCCTCGGGCTCCGCCAGCGAGTACGACTACGTGAGCTTCCAGTCGGACATCGGCTCCTACCAGAGCGGGCGCTTCTACACCAAGCCGCCGCAGTGCGTGGACATCCCGGTGGACCTGCGGCTGTGCCACAACGTGGGCCTGAAGATGGTGCTGCCCAACCTGCTGGAGCACGAGACCATGGCCGAGGTGAAGCAGCAGGCCAGCAGCTGGGTGCCCCTGCTCAACAAGAACTGCCACATCGGCACGCAGGTCTTCCTCTGCTCGCTCTTCGCGCCCGTCTGCCTCGACCGGCCCATTTACCCGTGCCGCTGGCTCTGCGAAGCCGTGCGCGACTCGTGCGAGCCCGTCATGCAGTTCTTCATCTGGCCTGAGATGCTCAAGTGTGACAAGTTCCCCGAGGGCGATCTGCATCGCCATGACCCCGCCAATGCCACCGAAGCCTCAAGCCTGCCCCAAGGTCAGGCCGCCCCCTCCCACGCGCGCGAGTCCCCGACCCGGGCCGGCGGGGCACCCGGGGACCTGCCGCGAGGGATGCTGCTGATCCCACGCTGATCCTCCCCCCACCCTGCCCTGCTGCTCCTCCCTGAGTTCGACTCCCTGAGTTTGCTCTCAAGCTGTGCAATGAGTTTAAAAGTCCGAGGTGTCGCTGTAGCACCTCTACCAGCCCAGGTGCACGGCGGGCTTGGCCGGCAGCGGTGGCCGCGCCTGGAGCCCCAAGCAAGAGCTCCGTGCGGTGTCCCGGGCGTCGCTTCCTGGGATCCAGGTCGCTGCCTCCACACACCTGAGACAAAGCCTTATGCTCCACAGGAAAGGAGAGCCCTTCTCTCTGGGAGGGAACCGAGTCCCCATCGAAGTTTTTTTCACCCGAGACGGATGCCCCAGGAGGAAAACACCCAAACCACAGTGTAGGAAGCCCAGAAAGGCCGAGAAATGCTAAGGCGCAGCTTCGTTTACTTTCATAGGTTCGACGAGGATTAAAACCCCAAAACCAAACACCTCTCGCTTCCCTCCCAGCTTTCCTGAGCTAGTCACTGGGCCTAGGAACTCCGGGAGGCTGAGAACTGGCTGAGAAAAAAAAAAAAAAGTTTAGAAAAAAAAAAAAGTTTAGAGGATTTCTGTTTCTCCACCCTTTTCAGGTGGTCTGCTTAGGGAGGGTTGGGCTGGAAAGCTGGTCCTCCCATTCTTGCATACCCCTGCTTCTCCATTTACACAAATCCTCAGGTAATTAGAAAGATAAAAATGTTAATTAGCTCATTGTTCATCTCTCCTTGGGGAGTGGGCTCCGCAAATTGAAGACTTTCCTAACAGTCCCTGGAGGGCCTGAGCCTCTTCAGAACCTCCCACTTAAAGGGCAGCTTTGAGTGGGAGGGAAAAAATCCCGGAGAGGCAAAAAAAAAAAAAAAAAATCAAAATAAACAAGCAAAAAAATGAAAAAAGTGCAGTGGCCTTTATAGGAGCGAATTCTTCAGAAGCAGAGTTGGGGCTTAAAGATGTGCATATAGACTGGGATAGGGGCCCCTAGGTGCCCTCTTGGGAGCACATGTCTTGCTGGGTTGCTGAGGAGGTTTAGGGTGGGGACCGCCTGCTTGCTGGCTTAGCTCATCTCCAAGGATGCCTGAGAGAAGTGTTGAAGGGCTTACTCTTCCAGAGAGCGAGGGGTAGCATGGGGACAGGGGCCCCAAACTTGAATGCTCTGCTCTTCTAGGGAGGAGGAGATCGGTCCAAAGTGATGGGCATTGGGTGCATGGACCCCTGCTGGGTGGGAAACCTGGCTGTCTGGCTGCAGTGGCCAGGGGCACCTCTGCTCACCTCCTGGGTGTCTGCACAGGGTTAACCTTCGGGAAGGCAGAGCCCTTTGGGAGCAAGAGCTGAGGTTACCTAGAGCAAAGCTTTTTGTTCTGCGGTGTGGAGCCATCCCCCCCTGCAGCCAGAGATTTTCCTTCTCCCCTTCCTCACAGGCCAGGAGATTAGCCCAGCTCTGCCCCAGCAGCCTCTGCTCCCTCCCAGACTCCGGCTGTCTGTTTCTGGGACAGCCCAGGCACGTGAGGTGGGGCCCATTGGGGAGCACTCAGAGGGGAAGATGGGGACTGCTTATAGGGGGAAGAATCCTCTAACAGAACCCCCTCAAAAGGCTGTGGTGGAAGTAGAGGAATGAATAATTGTTGTCTTGCCTTTGACTTCCTTGGGACTGCTCTTTTCACTGTCTGCTATCTCCTCAGGGCCTCGGTCCATGCTCCTCTCCCCTCCCTCTGTCCCCTGTAGTGCCTAGGCAGTCACTCTTTCCCAAGGCCACAGCTGCCCAACGGAGACAGACTGTGGAGGACCAGTCAGGTGTGGGGCTTGGGGACTGGTTCCTCCCCTCAGTGTTTTTTTTTATGGTGAGAGGCCCTGCCCGAGAGCACCCACTCTCTCCAGTGCTGCAGCCCTTGGGCGGAGGGAGTCCCAAGATTTCCCCCCACCCCAGGATGCCTGGCCACTGTCAGCTGAGGTGGGTCTGGGAGGGCTGTGTGTGTGTGTGTGTGTGTGTGTGTGTAAGGGTAGGTTGACACAGACCAAACTGCCACATGGCTAGTGTCCCAGAATGGAACGGTACTTTGGGTGAGAATAAATACACATGCGTGACTTTATTCTTCTGATTCTCTGAATTAAAAAACTAAATTAAATTTTCAAAGCAATTTATCTCATGCTCTAGGCTGGTTTCTGTTCACATGGTCATGTTTTGGATATTGGGCAGGCTTTTGCAGCCATGTGTTATTAAAGATAAACTTGACAATGAGAAATGAATGAAAAGATGCTTTTCCCTCCAAAAGGCTGATGCCCCAGCGACACCCACATCTGTTATCGGAAGAGACATAACTGTATAAACTTTCCAGGAAAGTCGTTTCTAAATCTTGCACTTAACATGAGACCTGTACGTTCCCAGGCTGATAAACTAAACATTCCTCTTCCGCCAGCAGAGGTTTCACTGATTTAAGTTCTGTGAGGGAGCACATCGTTTTAGTTTTAGTTTTTGTTGTTTAGACCTGTTGTGCATTAAATCAGCCTGGCTGTTTTAGTTGCAGATTGCAGAGGTCATGGTGCCCTTGTGTCTCGAGAGCCTTTCTTAGGGTCCTTTCTCCATGTTATCAAGGAGCTGGTCAGGGAAGAACTGCTGTGTGTGTCTGTGTGTCTGTGTGTGTGTGTGTGTGTGTGTGTGTGTGTGTGAGAGAGAGAGAGAGAGAGAGAGAGAGAGAGAGTGTTTGTGTGTAATTGTGTGCATGTGTTTGTGTATGTATCGGTGTGTGTGTGAGAGAGAGTGCAAGCAAGCTGTGTGCGTGTGTGCATTGATTTTTGAAAAATCACTTAATCTTAATTCCAGTGTTGGACTTTCTCCTCTACTCCCCCTAAAATATTAATGAGCCACAAAACCTTTCAGTTTTTGGTTCCTTTGCTTTAAACGTTATTTTAAGTATACCTTCCAACAGTGATTTAGTTCTCCTTCTCAGATGGATGGTGGATTTCTCCTACTGAGACAGCCTGCAGGGCCCTGAGGACACGCCAGAGGGGGCGCAGATTAATATTGCATTACACATTCCTCCGTTCCTGGATCAGGCTGCTGCAGAGTGCCATAAGAAAAGTTGAGATGGGGGTTAGCCCTGTGGAGAGCACACAGAGCTCACCCCAAGAGCTCTTTCCACCTTGAGTGGCGCTGAAGGTCAAACATTAATTGATGAGACTGAGAAAATGTCCCTGTTGGCTCCGGAGCCCTCAGCTGCCAGTCAGATCAGGGAACTCAGAGGGTCCAGAGGAGATGATGGGGGTGTGCCAGGGCAATGGTGTTTTATATTCTCACAGCTGCTTGTTCGGTGAACACCATATTCATAGACACTTTCAGTATGATAACTTCCACTTAAAAAAGATAATAATAAAACAAAGAAAACCCCAAAGCACAGTTCACACTCCTAGTATAGGTAACATGTAGGACCTCCTTTCCCTGTTTTTTTCCCCATGGAAGCAAGAACCATAATGCAAAATTCTGGCTAAGTTTTTCCTTTTGTCAGAAACACCACCTCCAGAACCCCATTGCAAGTTCTGACTGAAAAGCAAATTTCCAAATTCTGGGCGCAAAGACAGTCATAGTCTTCTGCTTGGAGTGTAGCTGTGATTCTTGTTGCCCCGAGGACGTGGATGGTGTCCGGCCCTGGGTACAGAGTGAAGGTGGAGGGGTGTGGCCTCTGCTGGGCCATGAGGGGACCCTGCTTGGAAGTGGGGGTGACCGGCTGTGCACTAGGTATATCCAGGGGGCAGCCCTGGCCTGGCAGGGCTTGGCAGCAACTTCCACAGCGTCAGTATTGGGGGAAGCTTTGCCCATTTCACTGAGCCGCAGGGGAACTCCCAGGCAGGAGATGCTGCCACGGAAGCCACAGAAGCCACGGAAGCCACAGGAGAGGAGAGGATGGGGAGGAAGAGGACCAAGGGCCTCACCTCTTACCATTTTGCCTTGGGGTGGCTTTCCTGGGCTCCTCAGCTCCAGCCGGGCTTGGCCTCCGGTGGTTGGCCAAGGTGTAGTGCCTTTAGAATGTGTAAAATGCTTTCCTAGATGGTGGGTTCCACTCCTAGAGTTTGATAGGTGATGGTGGGGGTGGGGGTGATGGTGAGCAGCTGCCTCGCCCTTCTGGGGATTCCACTGCCTACTTTCTGCCTGTCCTCCCACAGAGGCACTTTACTTTCAAGGGATCCCCTCCAGCAGTATTTTGGGTGGGAGACCTCCGGCCCTGGCCTCAGAAGTCTCCTCTCCCTGTGCCTAATGCCTGGCAGTGGCCCTCATGCCTGCCACACACACACCTCCTCTTCAAAGCCCTTCACCGTATTGTGAAAACGCCTTCAGAGGGTCCCCCATCTGCCCCCCCCCCGGCTCTCCCATTTGGCAGCTCTTGCTACCCCGGTCCCCAGCCCCCACTGCCCCCCCCATCCCCAGCCCTCACCTGGCAGGCAGGAACTTGCACTGCAATAGCCTTTTTGGAAGGGGTGTTCAGGGCCTGCGGCTGGAGTTTGTGAGTCTGGCTGAGTTTCCTTCTTGGCTCCTAGAAAGGGGTTCAGATTGATCTGCTGTCCTATTTGGAGTTTGGGAATGGGAAGGGGGCAGGATTCAGAGAGGGATGTTTAAGGGAGAGGGGAGAAAGAACCGGAAACAACTGGAATAGATGTGTTTCCCAGGGACCACCACACCTCATCAAACCGGAGTTCAGAGACCCACCCTGCCTAGCCCTGGATAAGTTTGGGTTAAATGGTTGTACCATATTCAACAGGTTTTCAAGAAGCTATGTCTGTTTGGCTTTAGGTCCAGGGCTTCAGGACTCTTCTCTTATTCTCTAGTTGCCCTTCAGAAATTCCAGGAGACCTTTAACTACTTTCAGCCTGGCCCTGGGGCTGACCTCTTCCCCAGGGGTAGCTCCTTCCAGACACCCCTACCCCTGGAACTCACAGCTCCTCTTTCTCTTCTTTTCCTTTCCTAGGCACAACCGTGTGTCCTCCGTGTGACAACGAGTTGAAATCTGAAGCCATAATTGAACATCTCTGTGCGAGCGAGTTTGGTAAGAAAGCATCCCTGGCTGCCTCTAGGAGGTTTGGCATTGCCTGGTTCTTCCTGATCTGCGTCCCTGGTGAACAGAGAGCCCGGTGACACATCTTTTTGGACCTTTATATTCTCTCCGTCCATTCTCCCCGAATGGTTGCTGTTCTCGGGCCCATGGGAATCTAGACAGGGTGGAGGGCTGGCTAGTTTTTATTAAAGTCAAACTTAGCTTTGGCCCTTCTGTGTGAGGGATCACTGGACAACTTTTGGGGACCTTCTCTGGGAGTGGAGGGAGGTAGACTTGTGGGCAGACGGAGAGGAGTTAGGTGACAACACCACTCCTTGGATGCCTCCAGGAGGTGCACCCAGGAGGTCCTGCCCACAGCTTGGTCTTCCCTCCACACAGGCTCTTTCTCTACCCACCCCTAGGTGTCAGCACCACCCTGCCCACACTCTGAAATGACTACACGGGGTGTCCTCCCAGGGAGGGAGTGTCCACCCAGGGAGGGTGTTGTCCAATGCTGAGGGCCATGATCAACTCCTTCCTGACACAGACAGTTGACATTCCTCCAGTAGTGGGAATTGTCTTCCCTTCTTCTTAAGTCACTGTGCGTTAAAAGGGACTTCCAGATCAGCACCTGCAGCCCCAGGGGGAAGTGCTGTATGTGGCCTGGGGAACAGATCTCAGGGGGCCTTTCAGGGATGGTTCCTTGTAGTCTGCCTCATAGGAGACCTGACACCCCGAGACTATCTTCTCTGGGAAAGGTAGCTGTCAACCGCATCCATTTGGAGGGCCGACTCCTTCTATTTTATATAGATGGTGAAAAGTGGCTTGGCTCAGGCCAGGCCCACTTTGCTGAAGGAAGGTTCAGCCTGGCACTGAAAGTGCATTTCTCAACGTTCCTTAGCAGGAGAAACAGAACGGTAGGTAATGTGAGTCTTTGTCCATTTGGGGCTGCCAACTCCATGTTTTCATTAACTAAACATAATAAAGTGTATGAAAGGGACTTGTTCTGGCAAAGTGCTGGGCCTGAGTCACACAAATAGGGCCTACACATGCAAGTTGAAGGAAATCATATAAGTGACGCATACATTCTCAGGATTGTCATCATGACTGAAGACCCCAGGTGGGAGAATTCAGATCCTTTGCCGCAGAGAGCTTCTTGAGGATGAAAATGTCTTGCGTGCTTTATTTCTGCACTAGGTGTCTCTGCCTCCTTTGTTCTTGGAGGACCGCAGGACCTCTAAGAAGATTAAGCTGGTGTGCATTTTCCCTCCTGTCTTTGAATCACATCCTTTCTTCTTATTGCCTATTTATTTATTTATTTTTTAAAGTTTATTTATTAATATGCTTTGTGTGAGAGAGAGAGAGCAAGAGTGCATGTGTGCATGAGTGAGCAGGGGAGGGGCAGAGAGAGAGGGAGAGAGAATCCTAAGCAGGTTCTGTGCTAACAGCGTGGAGCCCGACTCAGGGCTCTATCTCAGGAACCGTGAGATCATGACCAAAGCTGAAATCAGAGTTGGGTGCTTAACCGACTGAGCCACCCAGGTGCCCCTGTTTTTGCCATTTTAAATGTAGCCAGATGAAATTGTAGAGTGTGCCTGCAGTGATGTGTGCAGACCCTGGTTACCCTTCCACCGACTGATAGTTATATTTGCTCCTTGATGCTCACCCCCTTGCTTCATCAGAGGGTGGTGAAAGCCCAGTCTAGCTTGGTACGTCTCCTGCTGTAGAGTCTGTGGGTGCACAGCCCCATACTGCATTAACAACAAGTTTTTCTTCCACAAATGGAGCTGAGATTCCTTCCCAAAGATGCATGTGGACATAAAGGAAAACTCTCTCGTAAACCCAGACGGGAAGCCTTTTGCTGCATGGCTGGGGCAGAAAGAATCTGTTGAGATATGGCTGTGATCCCAAGGAATCCTTACAAGGGAGACCTAAGGGGCCACATTTTGATTTCATGGGTCCTCTTCAGATATTATATATCAGCACACTCACTTTTAGGAGTTGGCCCCCTGATAGTCCAGCAAATCCAGGACACCGTATTAGAGTAAACTCTGAAAGGTAATATATCAGATGATGTTTTGTGCTCATATGACTTCTGTTGGGCTCACCTCCTGAGGGACAAGTAATGGCAAACTCTGGAACTCTGTGTGTGCAGGTGATTGACTGACTATGCCTTCCTGTTCAGGAACTCAAATTCAATGTATCTGATTATTCATTGATTCATGTATTCCTCCATTCAACATTTCTTGAGTACAAAACACTGTGCTAGATACCATGTGCAAAAATACTTAACTTAGAATAAATTAGAATTTAATTAAACATGTTTTTCTTAAACACTGACCAAGCACTAATCAGTGATTCTCTAGAGAATCATGGAGTCATGACATAACTCACCAACTGTGGAGGGGGCCGTGGGAACTCAAGGCCAAGTTAATGTTAAGGAGGTGTCGGAAGAGAACCCATGTCTTCATGCCCAGAGTCTTTGTCTAGAACTTACCAGCTTAAACTTGTCGTCAGGTCTCCTCCCTCCATTCCCACTTGCTCACCACAATTCTGGTGATTAGGGGCTTTGTGGCAACCAGTCAAACTAGAGACATTCTCTAGAAGTGGGCCAAAGAGGCAAGCTTTGAGGAGGAATTTGAATGTGGAAGGTTGACCTTGCCATGTAGGGTAGGGCTCTCAAGGGTGTCAGGTTCCTCACCTGGGGATGGATATCCTTTTCCCCACTGTCGTAGCTGCCTGCTGAGTCAGCAAGCCACCTGCTTACTGCTTATGGGAGGGAGGGGTAGATCTTATTTTAATAACCAATCAGGTCTTGGCAGATCTGAATGATTGGTTGTTTGGGATTGTTCCTTTTTCCCTGAGATTATTTTCTTCTCAGGTTCAGAGAATTTTTGAGGTCTTCCTGGACCCCATAAGTCATCGTATCACATCCACTTATTTCATAAATAAGGAGTCTGACTTTCCCACCTGGAGTTCTTTTACTCTCTGTCATGCTGCCTTCCTCATTTAGGAGAAGAACAGCCATTGGGCTTTGCCACGGAGGCCTTTAACCCCTCAGCATGGTGGGTATGGTGTATGCCAGGCTCCTTTGAACTGGATGCAAGGAGACTTTTTGGGTGTTTTTGTTTGTAATGTTCTTATAAGGCAATAAATAGGATCTTTTTTTTTTTTTTTTCCACTCTGCAGGAGCTGAGCTTAGCTCTGCCCTTCTCAGCATCCTGGAGAATGCAGCCTTGTTGAGAAACTTGTTTCTTAGCTCAGTTCATTTCAAGTAAGTGAGGCAGTCAGCCACGCTGATGGGATTCAGTTAGGAAACAAAGAAATTCAGCAATGCAAGCTGACACACAACAGAGAAGAAAAAGAATGTTTTACTCCCTACTCCAGGGATCAAACTTTGCATTAAGTGGCCCTGACATCCCTGGTGGGAAGGCATCAGGTTGTTGGAAGGCTCTCTGTGAGCTCTAGGAAGAAGGGGGTGCATTCCTTCTGGGTCAGCACACACACTCGCCCTCCTGCCAATGCGTCCTCAGACTCCTGCGGCCTCCGTGGAGCTGGGCGTGCACAGCCCTTCACCTCTTTCCCAGGCAGTGCATTTTTAAATCTCTGGCGGGTCTGCTTGGTCACTAGTCTCTCCACCTCTGCACTGTACCCCCTCAGTTCAGAGCGCATTTTTTTCCCCCAACAGGGAAAAAGCATCAGTAGAAACACCTGTGTGCTGATACTCAGGAATGCAGCTGGATCAGCCTGGATCAAGTACCAGATGTGGGAAAGCCAAAAGTTAGATGGTGCAGAGTCTCTGAATTCAACATGGTGGCCAGCCTGGCTGCTGCGCTTAAATCAGGACGCACTGCTCTGCCTTTTGTTCTCTCTGCTTTTCCTGCTATGTGACAAGAGGGTGCTGCTGCTCCATTCTCTTAAACAGGCCAATATAGTATTTGCAAGCTGCCACACTAGTTATCTTGCTGTTAACAACTCATAGCCATCTTTCCTTCATGTTAGCTTATCCCAGGCGTGTGAGGATCTGATTTATAATTGCTGTGAGGTTAGGTCCCCACCTCTGGCCAGTCTCTCTAGCTTCTCCAGTATCTGTAAACACCCGTAAGCTTTTCTGGTAGAAATGTGCATGGTGCTTCTGCCAAGATCGTTCAGACCTTCCTCTTGGACTGGCTCCTCCACTTTTTTGAGCTTGAGAGTTCAGGTGGCAGCGTCCTTTACCCCAGTATTTTTTTGCTGTGGAAAAAAATTTCTTTGCCCCCAGAAATTTTCCTTGCCTTCTGGAAGGATTTTTTTTTTTCCATTTATGTGTTTCCTCATAAAGCGTAAAACCATACTTTGTAACACCAAAATGAGTCAGATATGAAAGAAAATAAATCAGCGCTCACTGTTAGCATTTGGGAGTATTTCCTAGAAAAGAAATATTTTCAGAGGTTCCTGAACCTTCAGTAATTTGTTCTTGCTCTGCCTTACTCTTCTTTCAAGGTGTCTTGGCTGTGCTGCTGTTTGGAGGCACAGTGTTTTACTCCCAAGGGTAATTTGATCTCTTGCAAAAAGTTCAGCCTTTCCAAACTAAACCTTGGGTTTCCTCCTGCAGGTGAGGAAAGCTGGCTGCCAGCACAGTAATTGCAACATCTGTAAGCTGCTTGAGAGCAGAGTCTGTGTCCTGCACCTTATTTTACCTAATGTAAGATGCCCATTAATTATGAGATGCGCTATTCATTTTGTACCACTGACAAAGGAAATATACCTCACGTTAAAATGGGAAGATAATCCGTGTCTTAGAATGAACAAAACAAGGCCTGTTTGTACTTAAATAGTTCCTGGAAAAGTGTCTTCTTCTCCACGGTCAGCATGGGATGCAAGTTTGTCAGATGAGTATTTGAATGACAGGATGGCAGGGATATGGAAACTGGACTCATTTTTTTGTAAAAGGAGAAAACTCCTTTCCAAGTGACTGTGTACAACAGGTTAATTAATTTCAAGGAAAGGTACATGCCCTGTTTTAGGTGAGT